AGACAGCCCCGATGTGGGGCTTGATCCCAGAATCCTGGGATCATGACCTGAGCCGAAGGCAGAGGCTTTAACCCACTGAGCTACCCAAGTGCCCCTCTCTCTTTTTAAAGATTTTATTTTTAGTAATCTCTGCACCCAATGTGGGGCTTGAACTCACAACCCCAAGATCAAGCGTCACACACTGCACTAGCTGAGCCAGCCACGTGCTCCTGAACGTTAATCAGAGCCAAAAACCCCCTCAGAGAAACACCCAAGATAATGTTTGACCAAATATCTGGGCATCTTGTGGCCCAGTCACACCCACAAAAAATTCACCATCACACTGACCAACAAAGAACTCTGGGATTGAGTCAGTTGTCCATCTTCAACTTACATGGCCTCCATCCTCTTCCCCCGTTAGAGAATCTACATCCCCACAGAGACATCAGGCTACATTTTTCTCATAAACTTGATGACATAAACCTCGATTGCTTCTGCCTCTGAGTCTCTTCAGGTTCATCCTCCTTGATGGGCCTGAAGTTTAGTTTCCGCCTCTTTTAGTTGGCGAGTCCACAGGAGCAAAAAGCATAAATCTGATTATTTTCTTAATAACTCACCTGTAAGATTCCCTCTTACCATATATGCTTTATAACCTTCTTTCTTTTCTTTCCTCTTTTCTCCTCTCCTTTTCCTTCCTTTGTTCCTTCTTTCCTTCCTTCTCTTTTTCTTTCTTTCTCTTTTTAAGTAGGGGCTTGAACTCATGACCCCAGACTAAGACCTGAGCTGAAATTGAGTCAGATGCTTAACTGATTGAGCCATCCAGGTGCCCCACTGTGCATCGTTTTAACAGCAAATTTAATGTAAAGAATTATTAGAGGAGCGCCTGGGTGGCTCAGTGGGTTAAGCCTCTGCCTTTGGCTCGGGTCATGATCCCAGGGTCCTGGGATAGAGCCCCACGTCAGGCTCTCTGCTCAGCAGGGAGCCTGCTTCCCTCTCTCTCTCTCTCGCTGCCTGCCTCTCTGCCTACTTGTGATCTCTGTCAAATTAATAAATTAAAAAAAAATCTTAAAAAAAAAAAGAATTATTAGAGACACCAAATAGCCAGAGTATTTCTTGAGAAAGAACAAAGCTGGAAGCATCATACATCCTGATTTTAAACTATCTTACAAAGTATGGTGTCACATAAAAACAGACACCTAGGGGTGCCTGGGTGGCTCAGTGGGTTAACCCTTGCCTTCGGCTCAGGTCATGATCCCAGGGTCCTGGGATCGAGCCCTGCATCGGGCTCTCTGCTCAGCAGGGAGCCTGCTTCCCCTCTCTCTCTCTCTGTCTGGCTCTCTGCCTATTTGTGATCTCTGTCTGTCAAATAAATAAATAAAATCTTAAAAAAAAAAACCACACACACAGACACCAAGACCAATGGAACAGAATAGAGAGCCTAGGAAGAAAGAAATGCATATATGACCAATTAATATATGACATAGGAGCGAAGGCTATGCAATAGGGAATTAACAGCCTCTTCAATAAACAATGTTGGAACAACCACATGGAAAAGAATGAAACCAGACCACTATCTCATGCCATACACAAAAGTTAACTCATAATGAATTAAAGACTTGAATGTTTAAGATCTGAAACCATAAAACTCCTCAAAGGAAACCCAGGCAGTAAGCTCCTTGACACTGGTCTTGGGATGATTTTTTGGATCTGACACTAAAAGCAAAGGCAAAAAGGTAAAGATAAGCAGGGGGACCACAGTGATTTCAAAAGTTTCTGCCCGGCAAGGGAAAAATGAAGAAGCAAGCTACTGAATGGGAAAATATATTTGCAAATTATATGTCCGATAAGCGGTTAATATCCACAATACATAAAGGATTTATACAACTCAATAGTAAAAAACCCCACACACAATCTGATTTAAAAATGGGCAGAGGATCGGAAGAGACATTTTTCCAAAGAAGACATACAGATGGCCAACAGGTGCGTGAAAAGGTGGTCCACATCATTAATCATCAGGGAAATGCAAATAAAAACCACAATGAGGCATCACCTCACACCTGCTGGAATGGCTTTGATCAAAAAGAAAAGAACGAGGGCTGGGGAGGATATGGAGAAAAGGGAACCCTGTGCACTGTTGGTGGGAATGTAAATTGGTACAACCACTATGGAAAACAGTATGGATGTTTCTCAAAGAATTAAAAGTAGAACTACCGTGTATAATCCAGCAAACCTACTTCTGGGTATTTATCCAAAGGAAGCAAAAATACTAACTTGAAGAGATATCTGTTTATATTCATAGCAGCATTGTTTTTATTTATTTTTTTATTTTTTCAATTTTTTTCAGGTTTTATTTATTTATTTGACAGAGAGACAGAAAGAGATTTCAGGTAGGCAGAGAAGCAGGCAGAGAGAGAGAGAGAGAGAAGCAGGCTCCCCGCTGAGCAGACAGCTCAATGGAGGGCTCCATTCCAGGACCCTGAGATCATGACCTGAGCCAAAGCCAGAGGCTTTAACCTACTGATCATAGCAGCATTGTTAACAACAGCCAAGACCTGGAAGCAACCTAAGCGTCCACTGGTGTATAAATGGATAAAAAAAATGTTGTGTGTATATATAGACAGTGGAATATTATTCAGCCATAAAAAAGGAAATCTCACCCTTTGCAACAATGTGGATGGACCTTGGGGGTATTATGCTAAGTGAAATGTCAGAGAAAGAAATACTGTATGATCCCACTTCTTTGTGAAATCTGGGAAAAAAAAACAAAACCCAGGGTGCCTGGGTGGCTTAGTCATTAAGCGTCTGCCTTCAGCTCAGGTAGTGATCCCAGGGTTCTGGGATCAAGCCCCGCATCCAGCTCCCTGCTTACGGGGAGTCTGCTTCTTCCTCTCCCACTCCATCTGCTCCTGTTTCCCCTCTCGCTGTCTCTATCAAATAAATAAATAAAATCTTTAAAAAACAACAACAAAAAAACCCCAGAAACAAAAACAAAACAAAACTGAACCAAACCCTCCCCTCCAAAAAATCAAACTCATAGATACAGCGAACGAATGGGTGGTTGCTAGAGGTAGGGGTGGGGAGGGGAGGGAAGAAATGGGTCAAGTTATAAAATAACTAAATCATGGAGATGTAATGTACAGCATGGTTATTAGAGTAAATAATATTATATTTGTATATTTGAAAGCTCCTAGGAAAATAAACTTTAAAGGTTCTCACAACAAAAACAATTTTATAACTATGTGTAGTGATGGATGTTAACTAGACTTTGGGTGGTGATCATTTCACAATGTATACAAATATAAAATCATTACGTTGTACATGAAACTAATATAATGTCGTATGTCAATTATAGCTCAAATAAAAAAAAAAGAATTGTAAACCAGGTGAATTAGCTACTTATTTCTAAGTAACAAATAACCCCCCAAAACTCTGTGCCTCAAAACTAAGCATCTAGAACCTTGCAGTTTGGAGGGGCGAGGATTTCAGAAGTGGTGTACCTACCGGGTTGTGGTTCAGGGTCTCCCATGAAGTTGCGGTCACAAGGTCAGCAGAGTTTACAATCATCTGAATGCCTAATTGGGGCTGAATGATCTACTTTCAAGGTATTTTCCTCAGGGTGCCTGGGTGGCTCAGTCGGTTAAGTGTCTGCCTCCAGCTCAGGTCATGATCCCAGGGTCCTTGCATCAGGCTCCCTGGTTAGCAGGGAGCCTGCTTCTCCCTCTCCCTCTGCCTGCCACTCTGCCTGCTTGTGCGCTCTTGCTCTCTGTCAAATAAATAAATAAATAGTCTTAAAAAAAAAAAAGGTATCTTCCTCACATGACAGGGGTCTCGGTTTCTTACTGGCTGTTGCCAGGAGGCCTCCTTCCTCATTACCTGGGCCTTTGCACAGGCTGCTAGAGCGTCCTCAACACACAGCAGCTAACTTCTCCCAGAGCATGTGATTCAAGAAAGCACTAAGTATAGCCACTAAGTTTTTTACAAACTCCAACATTGTTCCCACATTCTGTTGTTTAGAAGCAAGTCACTAAGTACAGTCAACACTCAAGCAGGGCATTCAGCTCTACCTCTTGAAGGGAAGAAATCAGAGATTTTGTGAACCTACATAAAAAGTAAACATACCAGATGTTACCAACATAAAAGGCAAGAAGGGACGCTGAGCAGTAATTTCAGGGAGCAGCCGTGAGTTGGGGGGACACCTGGAAGAGGCTGGAAACACCAAAACTAAGGAGTTTAGAGAAGGGAGCTAAGGCAGCAAAGAGGCACTAACCCGCCGGTGTCTCTAAACCCAGAGGAAGTTCTCATGGGGCTGGGATTCCAACTGTGGTGGAGGGGGCAGCACCACTCAGCTGTCGCTTGTGTTCTGTTTTTTTTTGTTTTTTTTTTTTTTAAGATTTTATATATTTATTTGACAGAGAGAGAGATCACAAGTAGGCAGAGAGGCAAGCAGAGAGAGAGGGGAAAGCAGGCTCCCTGCTGAGCAGAAATCCCAATGCAGGGCTCGATCCCAGGACCCTGGGATCATGACCGAAGGCAGAGGCTTAATCCACTGAGCCATCCACGTGCCCCCTCGCTTGAGTTCTGAGCAGGCACAGGGAAGCTGGTCTGTGAGTGTTAAAAAAGAACAATCAAAACCTGCAAACCAGAACCAGGTAGAAAGTGGAGTGAATGGTCATTTCCAGAAAGAATTGCTGTTGGAGTGACACCCGCAGCACTGTTCAGCAAGCAAGGAGCAGCCCCTTCTACCTCCTCCAGCCCTCCAGTCTCACCCACGCGCCCCGGACTGGTGGATCCTCGTAGGGAGGCAGAGTCCACATACAGGTTCCCCAGTCTTCCAAAGTAGAGCATTCCCACTGTAAGCAGAAAAGTCTTCATATGAAGGAGCGATTACTGTTCATGTATATGGAAACATTTCTGAGTGTTCCAGACCCTCCAGAAACAACCTTTTAGGTTCTTATGATATCTTACCACACACCGTGGCAACGGATTCACGAAATAAATTGAGATAAAGTCCGGATACTCACAGGCACAATTCAAAGCTCAGGTGGTTTGAGGCTGAAATGCTGAGTGTAGTTCTCAGGAAAGGCGCTTGAGGGCGCCACTCTCTCCAGTGAAGCCTCTGTAACCACGCTCTGCAAAACAGACATTGAGAGCTATTTTTGGTTTTTGCCGTTTTTTGTTTTTTTTCCCCAAAGCAAACATCCTCTTCTGATTTCCTGCCGTTAGCACAAACAGGTAGCTAATGCAGGTCTTTCATAAAAGCGAAGTGGTGTAACGTAAACTTTCAAAAAGTGTGGGATACCTGTACTCATTTATGTAATAAAGATAGGTACTCATTTAATAATAACTGACATTATCCAGCGCTTCCTGTATGCCAAGAGGTTTTAAATCACATAATCTAAAACTCTAAGAGGTAGGTGTTATTCTATTGCCATTTTACATGTGAGAAAACAGATGCACAGGGAGGGTAATTTGCCAAAGTCACACTTCGTAGTAGGAGTGGAGCCAGGATTTGAACCTAGAGAGCTAGTTCCACAAGCTGTGAGCTCAACCACTCTTGCTAACCTGCCCTGATACCAAACATCATCCCGCCAGGCGGTAGAATAAAATGTTGAGCAACAACAGACCCAGTTTGGTCCCCATGTTGCTGGTGGTGATCTAGTGGCAAAGACCACTTTATCCACTCACTACAAATGAAAATGAAGTTGAAACCGTGTCTGGTGCTCCAAGGAATTGCACTGATCATGATAGACTTCTACTGAAAAAAAAAAAAAAAAGAAAGAAAGAAAAGAAAAAAAGAGGGAATTTGACGTACATAGAGGTTAGGAGTGGGAATGGGGCCAGACCGAGGAGGGGCTTATAGCCCAGGAGGAGGAGGTTTGTCTTTATCCTAAAAAATAATGATAGTAAAAAAAAAAAATAATAATAATAATAAACAAAAAACAATGGAAGTCACTCAAGGACTTTCACCGGGGCCGTGGGGATGGGAAATGGTATACCAGACTGGACCCAAGGAAGCTGGTTATGAAGCTGCTTTCCTGGTGAGATATGGTGATGGCAGAGATGGGGAGCATTAGAGGGAGCTGTAAGATGGAGGGAATACTGAGAGGATATGAAGAATGGGAGGTTGGAGAGGAGGTATTAAAGGAGAAGGAGAAATCAAGCACGCATGGTCCCTTGAACGGCGTTGTCATCACTGAACTGGGGAATGGGGGAAGGTCTGTCCGGACCAACATTTAGGCAGGAGAAAAAGATAGATCTTGGACTCTGATAGGCAGGTTCTAAAGGAGATGGAGGACTAAGTTTTTAAAATATAACTTGATATAGCTGTACTATTGAAAGTATTTGCGACTAGCCACAAGTGGCTATTTAACCTAATTAAAATTAAAATGGAGAATTCAGGGGCGCCTGGGTGGCTCAGTGGGTTAAAGCCTCTGCCTTCGGCTCAGGTCATGATCTCAGGGTCCTGGAATTGAGCCCCACATCGGGCTTTCTGCTCAATGGGCAGCCTGCTTCCTCCTCTCTGCCTGCTTCTCTCTGCCTACTTGTGATCTCTGTCTGTGAAATAAATTCTATTAAAAAAATTAAAATTTAAATTTAAAAAATGGAAAATTCAATCCACACGTGGCTAGTGGTTACCTATCGGACAGGACAGATACAAGACGTTTTAATTGCTGCAGGAAGTTCCAATGGACAGCACTGCTCTAACAATTGGCGTTATTTGATGTTTTGTAGTAAACAAAGTCTGTTCATGTCCATCTTTGCCTTTAATCCAGTGTGTTGTTGTCTTGGTTTTCTAAGAGTTCGAGGCAATGCTCTAAACATGGACATCTACCATATGTTGTGCTGAGCTCCAAGACAGTTTGACTCAAAATATGGACTGTACCAGGTGCCCGTTTGTAAACTTTTTATGACCTGCTCAGGATAATAAAGTACAGAAATTGAGAATAAGATCTGAGAAAGTTTCCCAGCAAACTGGCATTGCTACAGTATTTCACTGTACTTCACATAAAGTACCAGTCTGCAGTGGATTGTTTATTTATTTATAATTTATTTTAATTTACTTTTTAAAGATTTTTAAGTACTCTCTACAACCAAGGTGGGGCTCGAACTCACAACCCCCTAGATTGAGACTCGCATGCTCTACCAACTGAGCCAGTCCGGTGCCCCTGGATTGGAAATTTAAAATGTTGGTCCTTCATTACAGGTAATGAAATGGCAGCACAGCTCGACGGCACGCTTTGGACATGCTTCCTGCCCTTCAGGGCTCAGGTAATGATGGGAAGGAGCCAGAGCTGACATCAGGTCTACTTGAGTTGTGCAAACATGGGCATATAGACCTGATAAACATCTGATAACAATTCAAAAACATGTAGAGGGGCACCTGGGTGGCTCAGTTGGTTAAGCATCTGCCTTTGGCTCAGGCTGGGATTAAGTCACTTACTGGGCTCCCTGCTCAGCCAGGAGCCTGCTTCTCCCTCTCCCTCTGCCTGCTGCTCCTCCTGCTTGTGCACACTCTCTCTGTCCAATAAATAAATAAAATCTTTTTTAAAAAAAGATTTTATTTATTTGACAGAGAGAGATCACAAGTAGGCAGAGAGGCAGGCAGAGAGAGAGAGGGAGAAGCAGGCTCCCCGCTGAGCAGACAGCCCGATGCGGGGCTCAATCCCAGGACCCTGCGATCATGACCTGAGCTGAAGGCAGAGGCTTTAACCCACTGAGCCACTCAGGCGCCCCTAAATAAATAAAATCTTAAAACACACACACACACACACACACACACACACACACACACGGGGCACCTGGGTGGCTCAGTGGGTTAAAGCCTCTGCCTTCGGCTCAGGTCATGATCCCAGGGTCCTGGGATTGAGCCCCGCATCGGGCTCACTGGTCAGCGGGGAGCCTGCTTCTCCCTGTCTCTCTCTGCCTACTTGTGATCTCTGCCTGTGAAAGAAACAAATAAAACCTTAAAAAACAAACAAACAAACAAACACATAAAGACACTCATTCACTTGTTTATTCACCTGGAACTTACTGAGTGCCTGCTATGTGCCAAGCACTATACTAACTAAGCACTTGGGATACAGCGGTGAACAAGATAGACAAAACCTTCACCCTTCTGGAGCTCATATCTAGTAAGAGACTATACACGAGTTCACTAAATTAATAAAACGATCTCAAGGAGTGCTCAATGCTGAGGGAAATAAGAGGGATGGAATATGGAGTGACTGCAAGATGAGTGCTGCTGGTTTATAGGGTGGTCAGGACTCTTTATCTGAGCTGAAATTTGAAGACGGGCATGAGCCAGTAGCACAATGATGGAAGGGAACAGCATTCTGGGTAGTGGGAACAGTCAGCACAAAGGTCCCTAGGTGGGAAGGGGTTGGCTTGTGTAATAGAAAGGCCAGTGCAGCTGCAGTAAAGGAAACAAGGCCAGAGTATGAGAAGCTGATGGGGTAGCCAAGAGCTAGATCACGTTGCTCGGAAGGAGTCGGGATTTTATTCCAAGCGTACTGTAGTGTCCAAGCAGGGGAGTGAGGCTATAGCATCTGAGTTTGTGAAAGATCGCTCAGTTGTGTGGAGAATGGACTGAAGAGAGACAAGAGGAGAATCTGGGGGACCCACGTGCTGCTGCAGATATCCCGTTGAGAGAAGATGGTGACTTCAACGAGGTGGTGGGAGCAGAAGTGAGGTGGACAGAAGATGAAGCAGACCAAGTCTCTGGCGTCCATTGCCTGGAGCAAGAAATTTCACTCGGGATGATTGGATGAACTTCAGGGGGCCAACGAGGCCCCTGTAACTGTATAAAAAAACTTTGTGTCTACGTGCTTGAAAAAGGTAGACCTTCCATTAGGATTCATAGGTAAAGAAATAACACTCAAAGTGATAGATATTCTTCATTCACAAGACTCAGTGCCTGAGGCCTGGGTATGAAACCATCAGAACCACCATTAAAAGACACCTAAAGCTACAATAAAAAAATAAATTAAAAAAAAAAAAAGGAGGAAAACGGCAAGTGTTGGCAAGTATGTGGAGAAACTGGAAGATTTATACATTACCGGTGGGAATGTAAAATGGGGTAGCCGCTGTGGAAAATAGTTGGGTGGTTCCCCAAAAGTTAAACATTAGAATTATCATTTTACCACAATTTCACTCTTAGGTATATACCGCAAAGAACTGAAAACAGAGACTCAAATATATCCCTGTAGGTTACTGTTCATTGCGGCAGTATTCACAATAGCCAAAACGCAGGAGCAACCCAAGTGCCCCTCAGGTGAGGAATGGATACACCAAATGTATGTATGTTCAACCAGCACATCCTTCAGCCTCGGCGGAGTTCTGACACAGGATATGGCATGCGTGCACCTTGAAAATACTGCTAAGGGAAATAAGCCAGACAGGAAAGGATAAGTACCGTAAAGCTCAACGTGCATGAAATACCTAGGGTAGGCAAATTCATAGAGACAGGAAGTAGATGAGAGGTTACCAGGCCCACCCAGAGGTTGGGGACCTATTGCTTAATGGTTATAGAGTTCCCTTGTGCTCATGGAAAAAATTCTGGAAACATACTGCAGTGACGGTTGCACAACACTGTCAGGGTAATCAATGCCACTGAACCGTAAACCTGAAAATGGTAAAAATCACACGCATCACAGGAGCAAACAGCTGCAAGCACGGGTAGTCTGGGCAAATGACATGTTTGAGGTGATGTTTAGGGAAAGCTACCCACAGATGATCATGAGCTTGCAGTTACGAGCAAGATTCCCACACTCAGGAAGGAGAGGAAAAGCTTCTGGAAAGCTCTGGGACCCACTTCCCAGACTCTGGAGCCAATGCCTGGGTTGGACTCTTGGCTTGGTGGCCTTGGGGACCTTTCTGTGTCTCAGTCTCCCTGGATGTAAAATGTCCTTACTACTGGTACCTTCTGCTAGGGTTGCTTTGAGGATTAAGTAAGTTAATCAGCAAGATGGGATTGGGAGGGAGACAAACCGTAAGTGAGTCTTAATCTCACAAAACAAACTGAGGGCTTCTGCGGGGAGGGGAGTTGGGAGAAGGGGGTGGGGGTTATGGACATTGGGGAGGGTATGTGCTATGGTGAGTGCTGTGAAGTGTGTAAACCTGGCAATTCACAGACCTGTACCCCTGGGGATAAAAATATATGTTTATAAGAAATAAAAATAAATAAATAAGTAAGTAAGTTAATCAGGTAAAAGTCATCAGTTCTCGGGACCCAGCAACTGCTCTGTGTTAGCTACTCTTATTTTTGTTTAACTTTTTTTTTTTTAATGGAAATAAATGTGGATTGTGGGGGTAAAAAAAAATCTAAGAAAAAAATAAAAATCCCCTAATTCTACTACCCAGTAGTAATCCCTGCTAACCGTTTATTGCCATTTCTTCCACAAGTCTCCGTCCGCAAACGCACAGGCTCAGAGCGCCGCCAGCACACCTCCTCGGCAGGGTGCACGCCGCAGCCTGCGCACCAAGACAAAGAAATTCACCGAAGCCCAGCAGGCCACGGACTCCGGCACCCAAAACCACTTCCCCGACTGCCGCGTGCGCACTCCACGCTCGGGAAAGGAAGCGTCGCAGGGCCTTCCCCCAAGCGGAAGTGATGTAAGCACATGCGCAGTGACGACGAGGAGGCCGACGGAAAGTAAGGGCCGGCCTGCGTGCGAGCTGGTTTCCGGAAGTGGTGCTGCGGCAGCATGCTTGAGGAGCTGGGTTTAATCGGGACCATAGGTGAAGATGACGAGGTGCCGGGGGATCCCGAGTCTGACTCCGGGGACGAGGAGGAGGAGGTATGAGCCGATCGGGTTGGGGGCGCGGCGGCGTGCAGTCGGATTTCCGTGATTGCTTCCGTTCTCCGTGATTCCTCGGGCCCCTGCCCCTAGCTGCTCCTCAGCATCCTCCTGCCAAGCCGGCAAGTGTCCCTGGAAGGAGAACCCAAGATCTTCCTCGGTTTGGTCGCCACTCGTTTTCAACCCTCACCTCTGCGCCTGTGCCGGCAACGCGTCGTGTTGTCTTGGCGAACCCGGTCCCCATTCACTGATGTTGAATCCAGGCTCTATGTGATAGAGATCCAGGGGCGAAGCCAGACGTGGTTCCTGATCACGGGTTTGTTCATTAAGCCAGTATTTATTGACGTGGAGGTATCTGTAGGCTACACCTAGTGGTCAGCGTTCAGGACATAGCAGTGTACAAGATGGGCAAGGACACCACTCTTCCGAAGCTTATGCTGGGTGTGAGGCTTATAGACATTAAGCGGTGTGGCAATTACAAGAGGAACAGTGTCATGAAGAAGGTGCTCACCCTACAAAGATCCAGCCCGGGTGTTTGCCCTACTGTGGCCTCATCTGCCCACACACACCTCCACCCTGGTGTCCCATGGCCTCCCCGAATTCAGCTTCACCAAAGCTGAACTCGGGTCCCCCTCCCTTCCCAACCTGCTCAGTCTAGAGCCAGAAACCTAAGTGCCATCCTTGACAGCTTCTTTTTCACTCCCCTCCAGTTTCGTTCAGGCTAGCTCAGCTCTTTAACTTCAACCCCTTTCTCCTAGCCCACCCTAGCCCAGGCCACTGCCACCTTGTGCCTGGACACCCAGCATCCTAAGGAACCTGGTCTCCCAGCTCTTTTTCTTGCTCCTCCTCCCACCCCACCCCATTCACTACTTAGCAGCTAGACTGATCTTTTCATTTCTTGAATGGAAAACTATCATTAAAAAGGACTGAAGCAGGGCACCTGGGTGGCTCAGTTGGTTAAGCGACTGCCTTTGGCTCAGGTCATGATCCTGGAGTCCCAGGATCGAGTCCCACATCAGGCTCCCTGCTCAGCGTGGAGTCTGCTTCTCCTGCTGACCCTCTCCCCTCTCATTCCCTTCTCATACTCTCTCTCTCAAGTAAATAAATTAAACCTTTTTTTTTTTTTAAGATTTTTATTTATTTATTTGACAGAGATCACAAGTAGGCAGAGAGGCAGGCAGAGAGAGAGGAAGGGAAGCAGGCTCCCCGCCAAGCAGAGAGCCCAGTGTGGGCTCTCTGGGATCATGATGTGGGATCATGACCCGAGCCAAAGGCAGAGGCTTTAACCCACTGAGCCACCCAGGTGCCCCAAATAAGTAAAATCTTTTTAAAAAAGGACTGGAGCAAATATGGCCAACGATAATGCCAAAGTCAAAATATGAAGTGCTGTATGGCTATCAATGGTTCAACTAAGTACCTGAGAAACAATATATATATGTAATGATTAATAATAATAAGCTTTAGGGTGAGAGTTCTTATGAGACTGTTTAACTCAAATGAGGAAAAAAAGGTCAGTGTAGCATTTTCTAGTCTCAGAAGCCATAAAAAAATCAGCCAGTCTTCCTTCCTTTCCGGTTTTTAGATGTATGGGTTTTTGTCATTGGTTTCTAACTTCATTGAATTGCTGGAAGAGAAGAGAGTCTGTATGATATTGATTCTTTGAAACCATGTGATCAGTTTCAGCACCTACTCCATGTTTGTTCAGAGCACGCACTCTCTAGGAGCACATGCAGCTCTGTGTGTTCACAGGAATGAAGCTTGTTGATTGTGCTTTTCAGATATTTTACATGTTATCTTCTTAATCTATCAGTTACTGGGAGAGTCGTGTTAAAATCTCCCATGACAATTGTAGATTCCTGTTCTGTGTTCTTTCATCTCAGCTCGTAGTCATCCTGCCTCTCCCTCTTCCCAGGGGCCCATCGTGCTGGGCAGAAAGCAGAAAGCCTTGCAGAAGAACCGCAGTGCCGATTTCAACCCTGACTTCGTTTTCACTGAGAAAGAGGGGGCATACGATGGCAGCTGGGCCATGGCTGAGGTCATGAGCCAGCTCAAGAAGAAGGTGAGATCAGACAGTGATAGGCAGCTCCAGGCCGTGGGCTTAGGGTTGGACGTAGGTTTTGTCTGCTTACATTCAGCATATGCCGGAACTCTTGGAAATACGAGGTGTAGTTTTGACGGGGTAGGGAGAAGCGGTTGCAAATAACGCCCAGTCTTGATTCAAACCAAAGTGTAAAACGTTGCAGCAGAAATCCATTACAGACCAGTTACAAACACATTAATTGATCTACAGATGATATTTTAAAGTATCAGAAATAACCTCATTTCTTCGTTAGAAGAGGTCCATGATGGCTTTTCCTGAAGGAGGGCATGGCGAACTCAGATTAACTTTAGTATATATATTAAGGGAGACCCTTCCTGATATTATACACACTAAAATGTGGGGGGGGGGAAATGTTTTAGAGGAAATCTGATAATACCATTCTAATGGTTGAAGAATACCAAATATTACATACAAATTGCTTGACTTAGAAAAAGATGGGCATATTTATGTTAAAATGGTCTCTTTTTTTAGGTGTTTCCTCCTTGTTTTGAATACTAGAGAGAAAACTTTGTTACATGAGTTTGTAACAAAGAGCAGTCTAGCATGTACCCTTGGCAGTAGCGTTTTGGTCAGCCCCACAGATACTGTCATTCTGTCACTTGCCAGGTGATGTCACTGTTTAGGTCCCTGTTTCCCACACAGAATAGCCAAAGCTGCCACAGATGTTACCATCATCTGCTTATTTGCCAAGATCCCTTGTTTTCCTTTGAGTCTGCTGAGCAAGCTAGAAGATGCATCCACATTATTTTCCATTTCATGGGCCTCAAAGAAAAATACTTTACTCCACTCTGTTGGTGTTCTGATTCAAATAAACTAGCATAGCCTCTTCATGGTCACCTGGACAGGATTTCTTTGACTTTTTTCCTTTTCAGTATTTTTTCAGAGAATGCCAGAGAAATTGTTCTTTTTCAAATTAATTATGAGATGTTTGTTCCTCCGGTCCATGTTCTGAAGAAAGTTCACTCTAGGTTCACTTTACAGATACTATGTTTGTTCCCAGGTCCTGGCATATAGACCCCATGTAATTAAAGACTCAGTCTTATGAAGCTTACAGCCCAGCAGGGTCGAAGATAAGTAAACAAATAATCACACAGTTAATTGTAGTTGTGGCAAATGCCGTGGCAGTTCAGGGTGCTTCGAGCGTATGTAAAGGAGGCCTGCCGTTGCTTACCCTTTCTAAAAGTTACAGCAGTATCCAGCATTACTGGAGTTTGCTTCGATTTTGGCATTTCATTGCCGGCTAAATTCTGTCTGATTGGCATGGGGAAAGGTTTTTCTAAGTAGCATTCAGATATAAATGGGACATCTCTTGGTAATTCTTTTCTTCTAAATAGTAAACACCTTCTAAAATGTGGATGTCCTTCTTAGCTGCAGGTAAAGATGTTTCGCACTTGACTATTTTTTTTTAAAGATTTTTATTTATTTATTTGACAGAGAGAGATCACAAGTAGGCAGAGAGGCAGGCAGAGAGAGAGGAAGGGAAGCAGGCTCCCTGCTGAGCAGAGAGCCCGATGCGGGGCTCGATCCCAGGACCCTGAGATCATGACCTGAGCCGAAGGCAGAGGCTTAACCCACTGAGCCACCCAGGCGCCCCAGCACTTGACTATTTATTTATGTTGTTCTGTTGTTGTTGTGGATAATCTGCAGATTGATTGACCTGTCCAAGGACAGACGGCCCCTTCTATATTAACACTGGAGACCCAACCCTCACAGAAGATTTGCTCTGTCTCTTTCCCGTGTATATACTTCTTATCCATCTAATCTTTATTGCAGAGGGCAGCCACTACATTAGATGAGAAGATTGAGAAAGTTCGCAAGAAAAGGAAAACAGAGGTGAGAAAGCAAAGCAGGGACTTCTCTGTGTAAAGCCCTGAGCTTGGCCCTCTCCACACGACCCCACCATTTTCCTTTAAGCCAGAGTTGGGAGTGCGGCGGCGCAGACAGGCTTCTCTGTGTGTCTGTCGGTAAGAATCACTGAGTCCGCAGAGTGCTCCGCACAGGCTGGAGGGCATGGTGTTACTCTTCAGAAGTTCTGGATTTCCTGAAGTTTGCGGTCGCCTTACTTTACTGTGATATTTTTTGCAGGATAAAGAAGCCAAGTCTGGGAAGTCAGAGAAGGAGAAAGAAGCAAAGGAGGGCTCGGAACCGGAGGAGCAGGAAGACCCTGAAGGGAAAGATGAGGACGGGCCAGAAGATGAAGACTCGGAGACCGATTACTCATCAGCTGATGAGAACATCCTCACCAAAGCAGGCAGGCGCTCCGGCCGCGCTGTCAGGAACGGGGACAGGAAATAGGAAAGGGTCTGCCTTTCCTCTGTAGGATTCTCTATGTTCTTCTACCCAGTCACATTTAAGAGCTCCCTGTTGAACTCCTCTAGCTTCTCTTTTTTCTTGGGGTTTTGTTAGGGTTGTTGTCCTTTGCCAACAGACCATTCCCTTTTCCTCCTCCCCAGCCCCACATAGGGGCTGGCACCTCTAAGAGTCAGACTTATTTGGGGTGATAGATCCCCTGTGTCCCACCTCAGATGGGCCCAGCCACACAGTGGGTGCTCCGTAAATATTTCTGGCGGAAACGAGTGTGCACGCGTGATCA